TTGATTGCAAATCGGTCTCCGATGCTGCAATGAAAATAGTGTCGTCTGCATAACGCAAGTTGTTAACGACTTTGCCGTTGATCTTTGTACCCACTTCAAGGTTTTTAAGCGCCTTCGAGTAAACATTAAAAAGCAGCGGAGATAGGATGCAGCCCTGCCGGACCCCACGATAGATCTCAACTTGATCGGTTTATTCATTATCAACTCTTACCGTGGCCAGTTGCTTCTCATACAGGCTGCGAATGATCCTGATATCCCTACCATCAAGTCCAATGTCACATAAAAGGCCCAAAAGTTGTTTATATTATCAATTAAATACATGAAAATATTGGATTATTTTTTATGACGCAGGAGGTATTTGAACCCACGGCCTGAAACTCTAACCTATTCATCGTCATTTGTGTGACGTCCGCGTGGTTGTTCCACGCCGTGGGTTCAAATCCTTCCTGCGTCTTCAAAATGTTATCCCCATATTTTAATATATTTTCGAAATTGTTTATTGTCCGGGTGTTCTTGGTAGTTCCCCAGAGTGAATACCATTGCATTGGTACTCATATTAATTTGAATTTCTAGTTTAAGACATTTATCTTGTCTGGCAACAGAAAACCCAGACCACAACCAATTTTTTGTAACACTAGAGTTCCTTGTGAAAGAGTTCGTCCAGGGAGGTACTGCCACCTCACCTATTTCTGTCGCCAAGAAGTAATGTGTGCATTACTGCTTGGCGGTTTCGATGATGAAGGCTAAGGGTGCTGGTGAAACTGCAAGCAGACGAGACTTGTCAAGTTTATGTCTCAAGGTAACGGGCGCAGGAGCAGTGCTCAAAGTGGCATTGCAATTGTTATGGGTGAGCGTGTCGCTTATCATCGGGAGCATGACTTGTTCGTCCCGTCGATTTATTATTATAATAAAAAAAATTTAAAAATTAATTTCCCAAATTGGTCCTACCGGGAATCGAACCCGGGTTTGATAATTTATTCATAATCAGGTTAAACAACAATTTACAACTGATAAAATAAATACGTTTTGTAAGTAAGTTACTATCATTATAATAATTATATTATGAGCCTATACTGTCCCCCTCCTTCCACACTTCTCTGTTTTGTGCCACTGAGATTCAGTCTTTTACGTGCGCGTCTAGCTTGTCTCTCCATCGACGCTTTGACATGCTGCGAAGTCGTTTCCTGTCTTTGGGGATCCATGCTGTGGGAGATTTCCTCTACGATCACCATGCAGCAGACGTGACCCGCGTCTCACTTTAGTTTACCCGCGTGCTGACTCACATCGGCGTTAGTATAAAATTATAAAATAAATTGTGGTTGTTCATCTAACCGATATCTGGGATTTTATAATACACTGTGTGAGTAACGAGCTTTGCCGAATAAAACCGAGAAATGCTAAAGTCACGTCACAAAGTTATACTCATTTCTGTAAATTCAAATTTTTAAATGTTCCTCTGTAAACTTATCAATTTCGACATACGATACCTTACGTACGAGGGGTCGAAATAATAGTATTGTATGTACTTATTTTAATTTTACTAATTCTTATTTTAGATGGCAAAACGTCGACTGAGGAAGTCGGAATTAAAACCGATACAAGACATTAATTAAAAAGCAGCAGTTTTGTTGTCTTAGGATGTAATTTGTTCAAAATTACTATGTCACAAGTTACTGCAGAAAATTTCTTAATATTGTACGTACCTGTTTGGTCAGAAGTGCCAATAAAAGCAGAACAATTGGTTATTTTGTTTTTCAGATAGAGACTGATTTAATTTCATTGTAACAGCGTACAAAGTGCAGTTTTTGCATTTTAATTTTAATAAATATTTACGGCATTTTAAATGAGCAGATTCCATATTAGTTACAGCAAAATCACTTCTTGAAAGTTGTGTGGTATTCTGTTGCCCCATATGTTTTTGCCAAAATTGCTGCTTGGTTTTCAAAACGCAATTGCTGTAACTAGTATAAAACCCATTTTAAACTAATTTTAGAATAATTTCGCCCATGCTATTTGATGACTGTTCCGTTTATATACATCTTACTTCAATGAATTAGTGGAAAGAAAGTCAATCTTTCTACTAATTCAAATTAAAGAGAAATAATTTTAAAAGTAATTTTGTAAAGTACTATTTTTCGAGATACGACGAGATCGCTTTCCGGCTTCGATGTCATGTTAATACGTTTTATCAGTACATTTTGTCTGGACTTTTTCACTAGTCCATGGCTAGCTCCCATTCTACGTCAATACACATACCTATACGAATCCATGAGGAAGAGAGTAATTGGACCGGGTAATGTAATGCTCTGTATCCTCGATTTATCTTGTCAGTTATAAAAAGTAAGTGACTGTAATATGAAATGTATTTTTATTTATCATCAATTCATTAGGTACTATGAAACCAGTGGTGTATAAACCAGACATCGTGTTATAGTTCGGGCTGGCGTGCCGCGAATGGCTGCGCACGATGGTGGGCTCTGTGCGCAACGCCGCGCTGCCCATCGCGCTGCTGCTCACTGGGTACATCTCCGACAGGTGCGATTCGTTGTGACTACGACTACCATGTTCTGTGCTCACGTGAAAGAGTCGTTTGCTGATGTATGCAAGTGTTGTACAGGTGGGGCAGGCGTACGGCGTTCTGCGTATTCTCAGGGTGTGCGGGTACATTGGGGCTGGTGAAGAGCTTCTCGAGGGATTATCACATGTTGGTGGCGTTTGAGTTCCTCGAGGCCGCGCTCGGCTACGGCTTCAACAGCGCGGGATACGTCATGGGTTTGTGTTTCTCGCACACCACACAAAACACTCCACAAACGTCTGGAATCAGCAATACTCTAAGATCATTATCTAAATACGACACTCTTAGATTAAGATCGACATCAATTAGCAGTGTTTACATTTAGTAATAAGAGTAGCTAACTAACAAGTAATTCATATCACCTATATGCAATATTCGAATAGATAATTTTCATTTTGATAAGCACCTACCTTCCCTACTACGTAAAGGAAAATACTATTAAATTCTAGTTATTCACTCAGACAATGGATGGAGCAATTTTACTAACATTTTATCGTAAATATACGTACATATAATTAATTGTTGCACTTGTTTAAGAATGCGTTGTATTATAGCACCATTCTAGCCACTGAAGAATTCCTTGGTGTTGGCTTGCGCAGTGGTGGAGTCTGCGCTGCCGTCGCAGCGCGCGGCTTTCGCGTGTGCGACGGGCGTGGCGTACGGCCTGGGCGGCATGCTCTTTGCGCTGCTCGCCTGGCGCCTGCAATATTGGCGCAAGCTGTTACGCGCAGTGTACGCGCCCGCGCTACTGCTCCCGCTCTATTGGATACTCGTCGACGAGAGCCCGCGATGGCTTTACGCCACAGCGCGCAGAAAACGCGCCGGCGCAGTGCTGCGCAAAGCTGCCCAGTGGAACAAGGTTACTTAATACACCCATTACGAACATACCTATAATAATTATTGTTTTCCGACTGAAAATAGGTACCTACAATAAACAAAACCTAATTTTGTTTTTCAGAAAACAATAGACGAGGACATAATGAAAACAATCGAGAGCGGACTCGAAAGAAGTGCAGATGACCCGGCAGGAGGTGAAGGGGACGGTGTCAACCCGTGGCTAGAGCTCGTGAGATCGCACGTGCTGATGATGCGCTTCGCGGTATGCTCTTGGTGTTGGGTGGCGGCTGCGTTTGCTTATTACGGGTTGACCATCAACTCAGTATCGCTATCCGACGACAAGTACACCAACTTCGCACTTAATATGGCCATGGAGGTTGTCGCCTCGCTGCTGCTCATGATGGCGCTCGAGCGCTTTGGCCGCAAGAAAAGCGTCTTCTTTTCGTTCCTGCTTTGTGGAGTCGCTTGTGTCATGCCCCATTTTGTCTGTAAGTGAAATTCTAAGGGTCGTATTCCAGAACTCTACTCAATACTGAAGTCAGGACTTGAGTATTGCAATGAGCACTGAAAATCATACTCAAGTCCTTGCCATTAGGGTCATATTTCCAGTGCTTGAAATCATACTCAAGTCTGCTCAAATCCTGAATTGAGCATTGAGTGGAGTTCTAGAATACGACCCTTAGACTGTTCATAATCTACTAATGAGTACCTGCACCATATTCCAAACCTTTTAGTTGAGTCCAACACCCTGTAACCGAGTAATTATACCGTATTCCGCAGTTCACAAGGGTACCGGCCTGGGGCTATTCTTCTTGGGAAAACTAGCGATCACATTCGCGTTCAACTCGATGTACGTCTTCACGGCAGAGCTGTTCCCGACGCGCACGCGCAGTTCGGCCCTAGCCGCCTGCTCGCTCGTCGGCCGTCTCGGTTCCATCGCCGCGACGCAGACGCCTCTGCTGGTACCACGGCGACACTATTGTCAATATATCACAGTAACTGCTTTTCGCTCACTCCACGTCAAACCGAACGTTTTCCAGTTAAAATTATAATTAAGGATTCCATTTTTTTATTATTAAGTAACAATAATAATAATTCATTGATTTCAAGCAACGTTGGCTCGTACCTATAATTTGTTAGTAAACCACTTAATGCTAATATTAGCAAAGTACATACAAAATTATACACAATGGACACTGCTGGAAACAAGCATTCACAACTGGGCCTCATATATTGACATTGGACAGGCGAGCCCACAGACATGTATCTTGATAGACGCCGCAAGCACAGCAATTTGTATGAAAACCGAGCGTGCCACATTTTATGTATCCACCTTGACGTCACAAGAACTATTTAGTGATGGGAACCTCCTTCCGCGCTAAATCGATTGATTGAACGGAATACACGTATTCCATTCAATTAATCAATTCAAGTATTCGTTGATTACAAGTAGTCGTGAAATATTAATATAGTAGGAAAATACCGAAACAATATAGTTATGTCCTTTATTAAACGATGTTTTAAAAAAATTTTCATTACTTAATAATTTAAACTTTAATTTTTAATCAATTTCAAATATTAAAATTATTGTCCTTGAAATAATATAAGCTTATTATATAACTGTCTTTTTGTAATAGAAGATCTTATCGATTGACTTAAATAATGAAAACGCACGTCAGTATATGAACTTGCAACTGCCTTAATTAAAATTACTAGATGGTTTTCCGTCGGTGATTGATCAAACTGGTGAATGGCAAGACAACTGAAAATGTCACTGCTGACAAAATATCTAAGCTCTTACTAAAGTAACTTAAGGTTTACTTAATGTCGGCCTCGTGTAAAGTTTTTGTGATTTGATCATGATTTCTCGGATTTCTAACTCTGCATATTTGGATAGCTTCTTTGGTGGGATAAACTAGACCACCTTCGTCCTAGTTCTGAAGCGTAGAAGCGCCAATTAAGTGTTTTTCGATCGATTGATTGAACGGAATACGCGTAAACACGCGTATTCCATTTAATTAATCGATTTTAAATTTTAATTCAAGTATTTGTTGATTAGAAGTATAATATTAATATAGTAGAAAAATACTAAAATAAGATAGTTTAGTCCTATAATTCTTTTTAAAATATTCAGACTTTACTTTTTAATCGACTTCAAATATTAAAATAATTGTCCTTCCAGTAAAATGAGCTTATTATATAACATCTTTTTGTAATTAATAGAAGATCTTATCGTTTAACTTAAATAATGAAAACGCACCTCAATATATGAACTTGCGACTGCCTTAATTGATTTTACTAGACGGTTTTCTGTTGGTTATTGGTCAAATCGATGAATGGCAAGACAAATGAAAATGTTACTGCTGACAAAATATGGTAACATCTTATTAATCAGAAGAGGTTTACTTAATGATGGCCTCGTGTGAAATTTTTGTTATTTGTTTATTATTTCTCGGATTTCTAACTCGGCTACTCTATATATTTGGATAGCATCTTAGGTGGAATAAACTAGACCACCTTTCTCCTCGAAAGTAACGAACTCATACGTGTGACCAACTCCAGGTTTTTGTAAAGACAGCGCACTGTTAATTCTTCGCATTATATACTTTTTGTATTACTCGTAATAATTAATAAGTAATTATTTGCTCACTATATTCGGACATTCGAAGCAACGTGCTGCAAAAATTATCAAAATTACAGATACTACTGATAATAGATAATACAAAACTGAAAAAAAAACGAAACGTTACTAAACGTTATAACAAAAGAGTTATAGAATATTTTTATAATATTGCTAAGGTCATAATAATTTTCGTCCCTTTGTTGCCTAACGTATACATCACTAAATGTTAAATTTGGCCCAAAAAATGTACAAGAGGCCGTACCACAGAAACTGAATGCATTATGCAAAAGTGCGTTCGTCCGATATTCATGGCGCATTAACAACCGATTACAAATATATCGCACCAAGTAAAAGCCGCAATATATTACAAATCATGAGGCATACACTGAGTTGCATATTTGTTTTCTCGAAATTCATATAAAACCAAAATAATTGTTTTTAAAATAAATTATGCATCTTCTGATTACAAAATCACTTGCCCGTGGAATGAAACGTCCCTGTTTACCCGTTTACACAGTTATGGTGCTTTTGCAGTTTACAATGGCACAATTATGCATTTTTCGCGTTTTCGACTGATGTTTGTCTATGAATACGGTCGAGCGCGTTCTGAAGTGTAGCAGCGGCAACTAAGTGAATTTCACTTAGTTTGGGCACGCGAAGTACGTACACTTGCTGCGTCTATCTAGATATATGTCTGTGGGCGAGCCTATCCACTGTCGCGCAGAACAGGGTCGGGGCTGGCGCGCACCCGGGCGCGGGGCGCGTAGAGCAATCCACTCTAGCTTCTGCGAACATCGAAGCGGGAACCCGGAACGTACCTATTGTTGTACTGAATCCGAAAGATTTTATAGGCAATACATTCTATACATGAAACAATGAAAGTTATGTTTTGCGAAGTCATATTCAAACAAATATGAACCCGCTGGAGCTCCATTTCGAAATGTTCACTGTTTCACCACAATTTGTAGTGGGATCACAATATTTATTTCGAAAACTTTTATTTGGTGAGATAAATAATGCTAATGACATTTATAAACTATCAATAATAATTTATTAATATGAAAAGCAAAGTTTTAAATATAGGTAGGTACACCAAAATAGAATAGAAAGAAACAAAGAAAATACTGTTGTTTGATTACCATAAAAAAGAAATACAAAAGAAAAGAAATGAAAAAAGTTGAAGATGCCTACCATCGATCGCTCCATATGCATAGGTACCACCTATTACCTAATGTTCCATCTTAAATTTGTAATGTAATATGCAATACAAATTTGACTTGAATGAACAAAACCAAAAATTAAATTGTTGTGAAAGACAAAATAAAATTAAAACATAAATCATATGCAAACAAAGATATAATATAAATTACAGTGTGGTGACATACTACGGCAATAAAAAGGTTACTAACTTAGTATTTGCTGAAAAACGCAATGTGTTGTTTACGGAACATCATTCTATATAAATGTATAACACATCAAAATATAACACATTTGTTTGTATCAATTTATGTTCTAACAAATATATCAAGCGACTACTTGGTACTTGGTACTTGGTGTATAATATATAATCAAGCGACTAACTCGTAATAGAAATGTAACGAATATTAGATTTCAGCACTTGGATGATGGAAACCTGAAACTTCCTTTGCAAACTGCTGTGCGGTGAGCCAAAATGCTAGCCCGAATCTTGTGCTTGAAACGGCTCTGTGACCAAGCATGCTTGCGTGGCTTACTTTTAGTACTCGGGTGATTCTCCAAAAAAACAAGAAAAACGTATCCATCGTTGAATAACACGAAATTTTATTCAACCTGCTGCTATCTTGCGGCCAGTAGTTGTACTACGACGAATGATTAACAACTCGACAACAGATGTCTTCTTTAACGCACACGTTGCATATTGAACTTTATTTCGATCAATTAAGTTTAAAATGAACACACATGAAGCATTTTTTCGCTAAAGTTTTGTTCATTACTAGCGTGGAAAATTGAGAAGAGATGTTTACTTAGTTCTTCATACGATAAAACTCGACCATATTGATGTGGGACAATGTTTACTTTCGTCTATTATAGTACAAAAAATCAATTCGATGAACAGAAAATTTAAAATTTATTAAAATAAGACGTACCGATTATATGAAATACTACTGATCTATTCATATAATATTATGTGTATAGTTATATCATATACTAAATACATTACACGACATTAAAACCTCTTTACAGTGACAACTCACTCCTACAGCTGTAATTATATTCACATTCGCTCATGCACTTACATGTCAAATAGGTTATTTTAGATGCACTATTTACACTTTACTATGTATATATTATGGTCAATGTATAGCTTTACGCTTTTTTTTTAATTTGCTTTCAAATAATTTAATCCCTCTCGTTGGTCCTGACAGAAAGTCAGCGCCTTAGGAAACTTTGGCATAATATGCTGAGTCAGCGCCGTTTCACTGCTATAACAATCATGTTTTGTTTTTTCTTTTATGCTTAATCTGTATTTGCGTTGTCAGTGAATTAAGTGTTTATCTATCTATCTATCTTTATATCTATCTTTCTATCTATCTACTGCGGGTAATATTTTTTGACTATCGACTATCATTTTTACACTCTAAAACAGCTCGATAAGGCATTTTTCTACAATTTTAGAGAATTTGCACGAACGAATGACACAACCATACCGTTCAAAGAGAAAATGGCGGACTAAGCTCAAGTTGGTCTAACGAGACCTGTACTGCTGGCACGGGTCGAATGCTAACTAACCACTTCAACTGTATTTATTGTTCTGTGACCTTAAGCCTCTATTATTACCAGAACCTGCTGGCTGGATATCGGGTGGAGGTCCAAGCCCCTCTGGGCACTTCGGATCACTGCTTGATATCCACTAAAGTGGCAACGTTACTGCCACCACCACCTACTGTGGCTAAACGCCGCATTTGGCATTATGCGTCGGCAGATTGGGACGGTATGCGGGACTATTTTGCATTCGTTCCCTGGCGGCAGCGCTGTTTTAGTGAGGTGGATCCAACAGCTAGCGCGACTGCCGTTGCTGATGAGATCTTAATCGGGATGGAATACTACATCCCGCATTCGGATCTCGTCAGTAAAGGGAGGCGCAACCGCTGGTTCAACCGCGAGTGTGCTGTGGCTGTTGAGAACAAACAGACTGCATACCGCGCTTGGATCAGGGGTCTAGCTTCAGACGATCCCAATACGAACTCACTTAAAACAGCCTACAATAATGCCACCAGGTCTTGCAAAAGAGCGTACATCAGAGCGGATGCTCAGCGCGTCGCACGAGTTGGCCAAGAACTCCTGACGCATCCCACTGGTAGTCGTAGCTACTGGCGTCTGGCCAGAGCTGTTGCGTCGAACTTCTGCCAGCCCTCGCTGCCCCCGCTGAGATATTCTGATGGCAATCTAGCCCACAAGCCGCAAGATAAAGCCGACCTCTTGGCAAATCTGTTTGCGGCTAACTCCTGTCTCGACGACTGTAACGCACAGCCACCAACTCTACCTCACTGTGGCTACACGATGTCTGATATTCGTATCAGACAATGCGATGTGCGTACGCAGCTGCAGTCTCTCGACGTCCGGAAAGCTAGTGGTCCTGATGGTGTCCCAGCGATTGTACTTAGGAACTGCGCAGCTGAGTTGACCCCCGTGCTAACGCGACTGTATCGTCTGTCGCTCTCTTCAGGTCGTGTGCCGGACTCTTGGAGAGAGGCTAATGTGCAACCAGTTCCCAAAAAAGGCGACCGATCAGACCCGCATAATTACCGTCCCATAGCCATTACTTCCATAATATGCAAGGTTTTAGAGCGGATCCTTAACAAACAACTGACCCAATACCTAGAAGATCACTCCATAATAAATGATCGGCAGTATGGGTTTCGTCCGAAACGATCAACGGGTGACCTTCTAGAGTACTTATCGCATATTTGGGGTGAGGCTATAGACAAACGTGGCGAGTCGTTGGCTGTTAGCCTCGATATAGCCAAAGTATTCGATCGGGTCTGGCACAAGGCTCTTGTCTCCAAGCTCCCGGCGTACGGTTTGCCAGCCCAGTTATGCAGCTGGATTGCCGATTTCCTTCGTGAGCGGAGAATTCGCGTCGTTTCTGACGGCAGCATTTCGAGGTTCGTGAATGTGAACGCCGGCGTACCGCAGGGATCCGTCCTATCTCCCACGCTTTTCCTACTGCATATCAATGATATGCTTCCACTTGGGAATATTCATTGTTATGCAGATGATAGCACTGTTCATGGGGGATATCACGGATTCCCCGCAGCTGGGCGCGCCGATACTGACAGAGAGCGATCTAATCTTGTCGGTGAGCTCAATAGGATATTGGACCTTATCTCTGCATGGGGATCTAGAAATCTTGTTGAGTTCAACGCCAAGAAAACACAGGTTTGCGCTTTAACAACAAAATTGTCGCCGTTCCTTCCCATGCCTTCTCTGATGAGCACAGCACTCTCACCTCAGAGCAGTTTTACCTTGCTCGGTATGGAAATCTGCTGTGATTTGAATCCAAGGAGCTACATCGAATCTGTGATCAAAACAGCCTCACGGAAACTCGGAGTCCTGAACAAGGTGCGACGTTTTTTCACGCCGGACCAGTTATGCCTGCTGTACAAAACACAGGTCCGGTCTTGCGTTGAGTATTGTTCGCACTTGTGGGACGGCTCCGCCAAGTACCTACTCGATGCCTTGGATAAATTACAGCGTCGTGCTACTCGAATTATAGGCGACGAAGAGGTCTCATCACGCCTTGAACCTCTGCAACTGCGTAGAGATGTTGCATCGCTTAGCGCCTTTTATCGCATGTACCATGGTGAGTGCTCTGAAGAGCTGTTCAACCTCATCCCCCCTTCCCCGTTCCTGCTCAGAAGCACGCGTGCTGGCCTTCGTAGTCACCGTTTCACTACCTGCCGAATTCCATCGCGTACTAAAAGGTTCGGTGGCTCCTTTCTCTGCCGCACGGTTGACAAATGGAACTCCCTTCCGGCACATGTCTTCCCTCTCTCTTATGATATGGGGTCCTTCAAACGAGGCGTGAAGAGGCATATTGTAGGCAGGCAGGGTGGAGGTGGCTAGTGCAGTGAGGATTTCATCGCTGCACTAGGTTCCTTCGCGTTTGGATACCACTTTCCACTTAACATCAGGTGGAGTGGAGTCATTTGCCTGTCATGTACAAAAAAAAAAAAAAAAACCGCCATCGCCAAAACACACACATTCATAATTTGAAACACTATGAATTCACGATAATGATTGGTCCTAGTTTCTAATTTAAAAAGAAATAACTTATTCTGGACTGGTAATATAATTTAAACTTTATACTGTTGGCATATCGTTAACAGTTCAGTACCTATGATTCAAGTCACTACAAGTTTTGATTTTACATTGAAATTTTAATCAATGTGCCGCCATGTATCGGTCACCATCACCAACTGACCGACGACGACGAGTTGGAGATGTTTAATTCTCCAAAAAAGAAGCGAGCACATTTTGTCAGGAAATAATAAAAAAATAAGGAAACGATCCTTAACACGACGTTTGAAGGAACCAAAAGAAGGGGATCGATGAATAGGTTCTGGGAGAAAATTCCATAGACGCATAGCAAATACAGTAAACGAGTTGGAGTAAAAATGAGGAGGAGGAGGGAAAAAAGGAGTGTATCAGAGGAGCGAAGAGAACGGCAAAGTGTAGAAGAGTGAAAAATAAAACATTTTTTAAGGTAAAGGAATAGAATAAAGCAGAGTAAAGAAGATAATATTACACTATCATTTTTGCACTCCAAAGTGGCAACATAAGATATTTTTCTACGATTTTCGAGGTTTTTCGCGAGGTAATTGACTCCACCAAAACGTACCGAAACGTAACGAAAATGGCGGACTGACATTTTTTGTGAGCTCTTGCAACTCCCAACTACGTAATCTTCTTAAAAAATCGGAATCATCAGTTACTACCGTGTGTTCAGTTTGACGTGGATAAGTGTTTTATGACAGACAAAAATAGCCGATGCACATAGTGCTGCGGTTAAGTAGTGGATACCATCTATTCTTAGAGAGTCAACAAAACGGAATCAATAAATTGTCGGTTCCGGCAGCAATGGACTATAGTTTTCATGTTTACACTAATAAATCCGTAAACAAACCTCTCACTAATCGGATATTTGATATAACATTAGGTATGTTATATGTTCTGCAGAGCATGTACGTCCAGGCGACTCTGTACGGCGCGAGCTCGCTGTTGGCGGCGCTGGCGGTGGTGCTCGTGCCCGAGACACGGCGCGCGAGTCTACCGCTACAGCTGCGTGACGCCGAGCACCTGCGTGCCCCGCCACGCGTACCGCCGCTCCCCGCCCCGCCGCCCCCCGCTCCATCGACACGCGTCTTCTCCGCCGACATCTAGCACCACCGATATTTATTATTGATAGTAGCACATATCCTTCCTGCAGAAATTATGAGAACCCGTGAATAATAAAAGAGGCGATATTTCCGACGTACGTAATATATATTTGTATGACATAGCCAAGGTGTTGGATGGTCTGCTGGACACAAGTTTGGATCAAGTTATTAACCTATTGTCTACCCAAAACACAATCATGTGTCTTAAGCAGACTATCCAATATTACAAATGCAGAAAATTCCCATAATATTTTTTTTAGATTTTTCGAAGGCGTTTGATCTCGTGGCATACTATCTTCTCTGGGAAAAATTAAGCCATTAATTTTTATATTAAGTTTACTGCGGTAGTTATATATTGCCGTCAACACAATAACATTAAGTGTAGCGAGACGTTGTCTGATCGTACGGGTTAGAATGTGGGGTGAGGCAGGGGGAATAGGTCATCTAGGCTTTTCAATCAGTACCTACGTAAACGAACTACTCGTGAAACTCAGCAATAAACCAGTCGGCTGCTAGACAGATGGCGTCGCTGTTCTGATCTATGATACGCAGGCGACATGGTGCTGCTGGGTCCCAAGGTGGGCTCTTTCAGGCAGCTTGATGTTTGCGTGAAGTTGATATTGTGACCATTAGGTTATGTATTGATATGGTCTTTGGAGGCTCGAGGAAGTCATGTTACATACGAATCGGTCATCAAACTAAACGAAATACCTCTTAAATTAGTAAAACTTATTAAATATCTAGGGCGTTCTATTCCCAAGGAAGCGCGAACACATTTTCGTCCTTAACATACTCTCCCGCCGCTGCTTGTAGCTGGAATATCCTAGGGTTCGCGCTCCGTTGTCTCGCTGCCTCCCGTTGCGATGACCACTAGCTTCTTCGTAGGACGGCGCAGTATTCCTCTGTTCGATGCACGTCGACCGCCCTTATTTCTCCGTCGGGGCGTTGGTGTGTCGCCACAATGATGCAGCGGAGCCAGGTGGTGCGTGGTAGTCCCGTGTGCCACGAACACCAAGTCTCCCAGTTGTAGTGCGCCGTTGGTAGCCCTCGCAGTTCGTCTGTGCTTGGGATCAGGGAGGTATTCTCTTATCCAGCATGACAGAACATGTCGGCCAGTTGTTGACTAATGCACCAGATTTTGTGCCCGTTGACGTCCGCGTCCGTGAAGGCTCCGGGCAGTGGTACTCGTTTGGGGCAGGAAGAAGTGTTTCGAAGTCAGGGGGTCCTCGTCTTCGTGAGTCGTCGATATATGGGTGAGAGGGCGACTGTTGAGGGTGTACTCCGCCTCGACCAATAGAGTGTGCAGGACCTCATCTTTGGGGTGCGCTCGTGCAGTACCTACGGTGTATAGAGCTGTTTTGATGCTCCGTACCAGGCCTTCCCATGCTCCTCCCATGAACGGTGCGCTCGGCAGTATGTATCTCCACTGGATGGACCAGATACTGGCTTCTTCCTGTATAGCTTCTAGTGCTGCCCTCTGTAGCTCGGCGTCCGCGCCGCGAAGATTGGTTCCCTGGTCAGACCATAGCTCCGTCGGGCATCAGCGTCGCGACATGAAGCGACGGAGTGCCATAATGACGGAGTCGGTGCTCAGATCTCCGGTGACCTCGACGTGGACCGCTCTCGTGGGTAGCCAGGTGAAGAAAGCTCCATATCGTTTTTGTCGCGTGCGACCTACTGTGACTTGGAGTGGGCCGAAAAAGTCCAGCCCGGTGTATGTGACCGGGCGTTGATGATGAGCGAGGCGGCTTGGCGGATGGTTTCCAGTCGAAGGTTGTGGAGGCGTGGCTATAGTGATGCGGTACATTCGGCAACGCTTCAATTCGCTTCGCACATCGTTGCGTAGTCGCAGGAGACAGTAGTGCTGTCGACTCTCGCTGGTGGTGATGCCGAAGCCTCCGTGGTGCATCTGTTTGTGTATCCAAGTGATATACAGTCGCACCTTCGGGTGGTCTTCATCAAGCACAGTGGGTGACCGTTGTGGCTCAGTGATATCACCCACGGCCGCTATGCGCGATCGTAGTCGTAACACGCCCGCACTGTCAAGTATCGTTGTTAATTTGTTAAGGCGGCTAGAAAGGGGAGGGCGATGATTTCCTCGGTGAACGCCTCTTCCTGTTGTGTTCGTATCCACAGTAACTCGGCATGGCGTAGATATGATGCGTCGATCGTTATAAATATGACACGTGGAACGCTACCGAATCCGTCCCTAGCGTCTATAAGTGCCGTTATCCACGAGTCACCCTTATCGGTGGTACTATTAAAACACTGTAATCAGAAATAAGTCACTATATTCTCGAGCACAATAACACAGTTGCAGTACAACCTTAGAATTTAAGTACATTAACTTAACAGAAACAATAATTAACAGTCTTCAATTAATCACAGTCTAAAATGGCACTAATTTACTAAATATAGTCACTATACTGTACAGAGTCAATAAAATCACTTTTAATTACACTTCACTGATTTACTTTAGTCACTTCCCGGCACTGAATACGGATGCTCTGTATGGACTCCTTTTATATTAAACCTTATTTACTTTTCTCAAGGTCAATCCCTCGCCAAAGGGTTACTATTTTGTTCTATCATTCCGTATTCAATTTGCCCATAACTTTCTTATTTTTACACTTTCTGACCTGAAAGTTATGGCTAATTGTAACTATTAGTGACCTTTACATTATCTAGTAATTTTAAGAACTATAACTTTTATAATCTGTTAATATTTTTAGATTAACTGTAACAATAACACAAAATTTCACAAATTTATGACAGTTTTCCTAAGATTACAGTTAATTTTTGACTATTTCACTATGCAAATGCTGTAATTCTGTAAGAACTTGGTTTTTATAAAAGTATCTCACGCCGGTGTTACAGTTCGGGTAGACATTCCTTCACCAACCTCTCCCAGAAGATGTCTTCCAGGCGCTGCGCTTGGCTCCACTGGTGCTGACTGGTTAGGTCCGAGTCAGTGAAGCTACCGGGTGCTGTCACTAGGCCCGACCCGCCCAACAGGAAGTGGTTGGGGGTCAGGGCTTTCGGATGCTCTGGATCTACTGACACATGTGTGAGTGGACTTCTATTCACCGTATATTCGGCTTCACACAGCAATGTACAGTACCTCTTCTTTAGGGCTCTTTTCTTTAAGAACACCATAGAGAGCCGATTTTCACTAGGCGCTCCCATACGCCAACCATGAAGCGAGCAGCAGGAAAGGTGTAGCGTCACACTATCCCTCTCGAAGAGGCTTTGCTTTCCAGGGCTCTTCTTAGTTCTTGGTCTGCCCCGTGCATGTTGGTGCAGTTGTCCGAGTGCACTTCCTTGGGTTGACCGCGGCAGGCGATTATTCTTCTTGAAGCTAGGATAGCCGAATCGGATGTTAAAGACGCAGCTATCTCTAGGTGCACTGCTCTTGTTGTGAGACACGTAAATAGCGCCACGTATCTTTTCTCATGTCGTCTTCCCACTGTGATTGTTAGCGGACCGAAGTAGTCCAACCCTGTGTAGGTGAAGGACGGACTTGGTGAGCAAGGCGAGTTGGTGGGTGATTTCCAGTTGGCGGCGCTGATGGCTTAAGTCTCCTTATACGGCATTGAAGGCAGCTTTTCACGACCATTTTCACTGTGGGTCATAAGTGCAGAACCCAAAAATGTTGCCTTATTTCATTCATTACAGTCTCTACTCTTCCGTGCATCATTCGGTGGCGCTGAATGCTTCGGTCAGCAGTTTCAAGTCGGCACATAATGCGTCACCATTTGTTGCTGCCACCGCGCATGATGCGCCGCGCCCCGCTGCCCGCCCCACTGCCTCGGTGGAAATGTCACGCGTGGGCACGTCAACCCCGACACGTGCATACGCCGCTGTAGCCGCTTCAACTAGCCGACCCGCCACTTCGAAATTCGAACGGCGGCAATCGGCTAAGGATAAAACCAATCTCCGTGTGCCTGTCTCTGAAGTTGCAAAACCACAGAGGCAGTCCAGTGCGACGAGGATGGCTTCACAAAGGTGGTGAAGAGGAAGAAGAAACCCACCAGCCGTAACCAGTGTGGCACAGCACCGACAGGACCGAACTTCCTGCTGCGTCCGGCCGTACCGACGACGTTGATGTACCTGTCGCGGCTGCATTACTCCACGAAGTCTGAGGAGATAGTGGAGTATATAAGGCATAAAGCCAATTACACCCTGAGGGTCGAGCGGTTAGAGTCTCGCCGCAACGTGAACTTTAATTCGTTTGTGGTGAGAATACCGACCGAACATCGTTCGACCTTCATGAAAGAGGAATTAGGGCCGAAGGGTGTCATATATCGGCGATTCCGCGGCCGGTTACCTGACACCAGATAGCGGCGCACGTCACCGATAAGTGAAATCGTGTAGATTAGTTTTTTATTATTATATTGTATGTATGTCTGTTGTTTAAGGTATATATAATATAGGTGTATTTTGTTTTTATATTGTTATGTATGTTAGTCTATAAGGTATGAATACATGGGTCTTTTTATTGCCTGATATAAATAAATAAATAATAAAAATAAATAATAAAGCTTCTATTTCCTGCAAGAATGCATCTTGTTGGCAGGACTTCACCCATATAGCTTCGGCTTTTTTATATACTCTCCATGTAATTGTATCACTTGCAACTCTGATCTGTCGCTATGTAACACTGTTGTGGGAGTACCGCCTGCTTTCCTTTTATGCAGCTTCCAAGTTGGGTCGCTGTCTGGTCTCTTCACGGTTCTTTTATAACGAACTGTCGCCTTGTGCGGCCAAAGCAAATCTATAAGTTGCATCACTCGCGCTGTACATCGTATCAGCCTAAGACACGAAGATAATCTATTAATGGGCGGTAGAGCTTCCGTTAACTTGTTCTTATTGGAAACTTTTGTGAAGTGGATTCGTTCGACTGTTGGTTCCATTAGTTCCACTTTCTATGTTGGCCAATCTTTTTCAGATTGGTACAAAAATGCTGGCCCTGTAAACCATCTATGATGTGCGAAAAAGTCTGCGGGTGTTTCCCTCGTGGCCACATCAGCGACGTTTTCCTTTGTTGGCACCTATTTCCAATCGTTGACTGTAGTCTCTTCTTCTATTTCGGTGATTCTATGAGCTACATAGGCTTTAAAAGTTCGTGGTCCTACTAACCAACCCAGTACAGTTTTCGAATCACTCCAGTAAAATTTTGCGTCTGGCTTGTAGTCATATAACAGTACGGGCTAGTCTGCATCCTAGTACTGCTGCTTGAAGTTCTTGGCGCGGGATGGAAGTAAGCTTTAGTGGTGCGACACTGGCTTTGGCAGCCGCTAAACTGATATGTACGTTGCCCTTTGCGTCAATTAATCGCCAGTATACGGCAGCGGCGTAGGCAGTCTCGCAGGCATCTACGAAGGTGTGTAGTTGGCGTTGTTAAGCATCGGTATAACTTGGATGGCAACGCGACAGGCTTAGATGGCGGAGCTTCTCTAGGTCTTTTATCCACTTATGCCAAGCGGTCGACATATCGTTGGGTAGTTCCTCGTCCCAGTCAACTCCGAAGCGCCATGTTTCCTGGAGTATCTTCTTTGCTTGTATGCTACTAGGCCGAGAGGGTCAAACAGTGACATCATGGCTCTCAAGGTTTCTCTCTTGGTTGGCGTTCGTTGTCCATTCATGATGTCTGGTGCTACTCGATTGAAGTTCAGATTGTATGCTAATTCATCTGTTGCTCCTTGTGAAGTTCAACGTTGGTTGGTGTTTCAACAGTCGCTGTATCCGTATATTGAGTAATGTGTGGCCGATTTGAGGTGAATTTGGTCAAGTTAAAGTTGGCTTTCTGGTGTATCTGTTTAACTTGAGAAGCTATCTTTATGGCTTCTTCCTCCGTTCGGAAGCTTTGGAGGTAGTCATTCATGTAATAGTTCTTTTATATGTCTCCCGCCGCTTTCTGGAAACTGTTGACTATGTCTCTGTGCATTATAGTTCTTCACGTACAATGCTGTGCACGGAGAGCATGCGGCACAGGTGATGGTGACGCGTCTGGAAGCTTTGTTCTCCAACTTGCTGCCCCCGATAGATTCTATGTGTAGGGGGTCTATGGGCCCACGGGCACCTGTTTTTGCTGCTATCTTTCAATCTATTAGGGTTACTGTTGATCCATTGTCTAAGAGAGCGAATGTATCCAATTTTCGCGGGCGGAAAAGGTGGGCATTAATTTATCTGTTATGGCTTGAACTATTTCTGGATTGTATAAATATTGCTTTCTCTTGAGGACTTTAAGTAACACAATTCTTTATTTTACTTGAAAATAAGCATATATTTCTTGAAGCATCTGTCGGTCTATTTATATTTCTCAATTCCTCTAATTCTGAGAGAGCGATCGAATCTGGGCGACCGAATCTATTTTCTAATGCTTTCATAATCTCGGCCGGTTTACCATTGGCTATCAAGAGGCTGGTCACTGCTTCCTTTGCCTTGCCTTTAAGGCTTCTTCTCAATACTCAATAAATTTATTGCATTTATATGGTACATACATGTCTAAAATTACACTAATGCTACACATATGAGCCCTTTATTAGGGATAACAATAAGAGCAGAGGTAGGCCGAGGTTTCAATTATTAATTAGAATTGTTATTTATCAAATAATAACATAAAAAATAAAGTCATGTAATAAGAAGAAATACGTCATATTATAAGCAGCATTATGCCACTTGAAAGTTTGAATTTAATCAGATTACAATAGCATAACTTTATAGTACATAATTAACGTTTGTTTATTATTCAAATTTATTAAAATATCATTATTTTAATTTGTTATCAAAGTATTCCTTTTATTTATTATAGCATTTATTAATAAGATGTAATTTTAATTTATTTACAAACAGTGAATACTTTTATTCGTTTTTAATAGTGGGCTTGACTTGAAACTTGAGCTGTGTATCTGTAGCTGAGATCGTGGCAGAAGCAATTTAGGTTGTAAGTTAGGTTATCTGTGTAAAAAAAAAGTTGGGGCAGGTCGTCAATGTTAGTATAAAAGTCAGGGTGTTGTTTAATAAGTTTACAAATTTCTAAAATACCTGTATATAGAACACAAAATCAAAATTTTAAATTGTTCAAAGTGCGGTCTGCAGCTATCAGTACTACCAAATTACAAATACAAATTACTAATACGGATGCATCTTTTCTGGATTGTAAATATTTCTCGTGCGTGCACACTATTTCCCCAAAGTGTAAGCATAATAAGCGGCCATTGCAGTTATTAGGTCAGTCGTTTTCTTTATCTCCTTCAGGGTGTACGTGAAACTAGACAACTTTTTCTTAATTTTTGTATGTGACATTTCCAATTCACATGCGTGTCTATATTTAAACCCAGCAATGTGAAGCTACGTACTGTTTCTACACGCGTGTTATATGTATATATATTAGGGGTTAAAGTATGAAATTGCCGTTTTATTGCAATAGGTTCTTTGAATTTTCATAGAATCTTCATGGTTTGAGGTTTTCGAATGAAACTTCTTTCAAATGGTTTCTGTGAATTTTTTTTTTTTAATTTGAAACATTTGAATATCGACTTTCAATTGTTTTTGTTATTCAATTTAGACAAGAAAGATGGATACTGCGAAAATTCGAGTGATTTTTGAATACGAGTTCCGACGCGGAACTAACGCGGCAGAAACAGCCCGCAATATCAATGCTGCGTTTGGAGAGGGGTCTACTAATGAACGCACCGTGCGATTTTGGTTTAAACACTTTCGTGATGGAAATTTCGACTTAAAGAACGAGGCACGAGGAAGACCGCCCACACCGGTGAATAACGATGAATTAAGAGAGATAGTGGAAGCCGATCCTAGTCAAACTACCCAGGAATTAGCGGCATGGTTTAACGTTACCTTACCCACAATATTGACTCACTTGCGTCAAATCAATAAAATAAAAAAATACGAAAAATGGGTGCCTCATGATTTGACTGATCTGCAGAAAGAAACGCGTGTTGAAACTTGTGTTGCCTTGTTGAACCGGTACAGAAATGAAGGAATATTGGATCGAATTGTAACATGTGATGAAAAGTGGATTCTTTATGATAACCGGGAAAGAAAAATGCAATGGCTGACCCCAGGTCAAATGCCACAACAGTGTCCTAAAGCAAAACTTACCAATAAAAAGGTAATGGTAACTGTTTGGTGGTCTCAGCATGGTGTTATTCACTATAGTTTTCTCCGATCTGGTCAAGCAATAACGGCAGATGTCTATTGTGCC